GATTGCGAAAGGATAAAAATCAGAGAGTGAAAAATGCGACGGCAAAAAATTGAATCGACGCTTGAGCAAACTCAATTGAAAAATATGGATTGATTCCTCCAATTTGATGTGCGTATCGTGTGCGTAATTTAGATACATTTTTGTTGATTTTATTGCGTATCAAATCAAAATGAAATGAAATAATATAATATATTGAGATATGCGATTGTGATTAAATAATATAAGTTGGACGATACATCAATAATAGACTAGCAACGCGACAAACTCCGTTTCGCCACCAGATGGTTATGAAGAAAAATTTTTTGTTCGTTTTATATTTGTAAAGGAAAAATTTGATTTTATTACACAACAGTAATGAATTTATTTCGATTACAAAAATGAAGTGTTTTTTAGTTGAACTTCTCTAAGTAAATGAAAGTGAATCCGCAATTATCCGTTTCGTTGAAGTGCTCTTTGGTAAACCACATTTTTTGTTTTTTGGCCTGACGTTAACACAAACAAAGCAGATGGTTTCCCAACTCGTGAACAGGCAACGTATAACTGCCCATGTGAAAAGCAATGGGCAATTAAAAATTCAAGTAATGAAAATAATCAATAATTGTTTTAAATAATATCAAATAGATTATCTACATATATATAAAAACATTGCTTGAATTTTTAATTACGGTGCGTGAAGTTCCAGCAATTTGCATTAAGGCACGATGCCATGCACCATAATTTTCTTAGCAATAAACCTTGCCCGAGACCCTTCAACGAATGCCAAATTGTCGAATTCGGTTCGTGCGTTCGGAGTTATATCGTCAGGAAGGAAAACCCGATTAATTTTTTATATATATGTTAGATTATTTACAACCATGCTAACTCCATATTACAAATTTTTAACTTCTTGCTTATTTTACGTGCTAATTTTCGCAAGAAAGTTCGATTTGCAAATTTTAAATTTTTCTCAACTTTTTAAGTCATTCTGAATCGAATGAGAGCAAATTTAGCATGTGTGTTTATGTGAACCGATTATTGACCTTTCGTCGACGTTTTATCAAAAACGTCTGTACTGATTTCAAAAAAGCCATCGGGCGAGCCGTTTCTTTGTGAATAGCAGAAAACCATAAAAATTTTTGTCAAGGTTTCAGCTTACAATGCTTCATCTATATAAATGATTCAAAAACCGTTAAAAAGATATTGGATGAAAATCGTGTTGATTAGTTTTTGAATAAAATGTTTTCGAACATTTTATAAAAAAGCTTTTATGATAGAGATCATGGTCTTATAGGACATACTAAAATATTAGAGTCCTAAGAAAATTTGTTTAATATTAAAATCATAAGAGTTTCAGAAAATTGAGCATTATTTAAAAATGAGATTAAATTTAACCTTTCGCAAATCGATTTCAAAAATTTAAAAGACCAGCAATGAAATTCGTCGGACTAATTTGCATTATTTTCGCAATAAACAGTTTTTCGAATGGATAGTTATTTTGTATTACCGGTCTCCAAAAAACAACAGAATATACATTTGTTAGACTTCACGAGTGTGTTATCATAAGTGACAATAAAGAGTTGCACTCATGATAACATTGCTATCTGACATTTATGTGGAGATTAGGTTTATTTATTTTATTTGGTGAATTGGCTACATAAACTTACCAAATGGCACAAACATTAGAATATAGGTTTGTTAGACTTCATGCGAGTAAGTAAGAACAAGAAGTTGCACACATGATAAGGGGGCGTCCATTAATCACGTGGTCGATTTTTTAAGGATTTTTGGACTTCCCTTCTCCTTGGATACGTCGTAATATTTAGAATTATCCGCCCCCTCCCCAAACATCACGAACGAGGTTTTCGAAAAACGTAATATTTTTCGTTTTTTTTTTTGAAAATCTAGGTGAAAAATAAATACACGTGATACGTGTATTTTACTAGATCCCTCCCCCACGTGATTTTTCGTGATTTTTTGTCAAAACACTAATTCTCTTAAAAAACTGCACGTGATTAATGGTTGCCTCCTAACAATACTATCTGACATTTGTACCATTTGGAGGTTAGGTTCATTTATTTTATCAAGAGAATTGGCTCCATAAATTTACTAAAATACCACTACACATAGGTTTACCTAAATTTGAATTTGTATCAGTAATCACAGTGTTTTTATTTATTCTCCAATGTAAATATAACCTGAATTGTTGGCGTCAATTTGCTTTACCTAAGCTTTGCTCTCGACGAGTATATTCTCTGCACATCATTCAACCGCTCCCGCAAACGCATTCGTACATTAGCCCGGACGGCGGTAATGAAACGTTATCGCTTGGCCGGCAGAGCGTTCTCCATCACGAACGTTCGATAGTCCGCGGTCACGGTGCGAACTGGTCATGCGGTTTGGGACCCATTTCGTTGCAAATATCCGCTTTCAAGTTGCCGCGGTTTCTATTATTATCGCACATTAGGGCATTATCGGCGGCATAATTTATACCGCAGCGCAATATCGACGGCGTTCGATTGACCACTTCGAAGCCGCTTGTACTAAGCTGTATTGTAATTTGGAAATTCTTATTAGTTTATTAATCTAAATTTATATTTTTAATTTCTCGTAGGGTATATAAGTTATAGTAATCTTAAAAAAAATCGAATATACAAATTTTGCACATCCTTACTGTTCATTATTTGACCATCCAGTTCGAATGGACCAAAAATATGTTGTGACAAGATAAATTGCAAAAATGTGTAGAAGTTTGTGATCCACGTTGCCGAACTGTATTAAAAACACTTGCACTTTATTTATATTGTCGAAGGACCAGATATATTTAGATAGTGGCTATATCAGACCGATTAAAAGATAGTAATAATGTTTAATTATTGAATATTTGAATGAAATATTGAAACTTATAGATGATATGTTAGACGTTATTACTTTGAATGTTGATTAAAGACTGATGAGTATATGAAATTTGAGTTGTTACTAAATTATAATGGTTTTACAATTTTATATGATTTTTCTGATTGCTTCGTTTTTGTGGTTTCGAGTAACATCCTATTACAATTTTGACCAATCAGGTATTGACCGGTGATTCCATGATACGTGGAAATCATCGGGAACAGGTGATTAAGATTCGTAGAAAAATGTATTAATGGTATGATGATAGATTTAGGGACATGATGCATGACAATGAAAGGGATTAAGAGATGAGGGTTTATAGCTGCTATCCTGTATGAAAGTAATAAAATATATAATTAGACCAGGGTTGGGAATGAGGCGTTAACACTTACATTTTAAGGATTTTAAACATTTTGGAATACCTGGAAAATGTATGTATGCGGTTGTGTATGTATATGTGTGTATACGTTCTGACACGATTTCGAGAGCACGGATCAACCAATTTGAATGATTTAATTAATATTCGGTTCTTATTGATATAGTTTTTGACAATGGCTAGACTAACCATTTCGAAGATACGGGCCACAAACTGCAAAAAGTGGCTAATCAGTTTTTGAGAGAACGGAGCATCCGATTTAAATTATTTCAAAGCATTTTACTTGTATTAACGGTAAAAAATGGTTCAATTTTTGAGTAAGGTTTGGGAGATCCAATAAAAAAATGTTAAAAAATACCATTTGGCGGTCAAACATGATTATTAGACAGGCGTACATTAATTTATAAAATGTTTGATAGCGATTTTATTAATAAGTGCCAACATTGTTGACCTTTTTATAGGTTCGGTATCATGATTAATAATGTTTTAACCCTTTTACTGCAACGCGGCGCTCATGCGCTTTGATATTTTAGCTCTAAAACAGCAACGCAGTGCAAATGCCTTGACAAAAACTCAAAATTTTCAAAACAATTTTTGAAAAATATAAAGCTTTTCAAAAATTTTAAATTATGGTACGAGAAAATCCAGCATTTTGCCTTAAGCACAATGACATGCACCACTAAATTCTAGAAGCACAATATTTCAAGTCTATATCAATTTTAATTAACTTATTTTTAGTATTACATCAGGATTTGATTCGAGTACCCCTCTATATGCAAATCGAGCCCAGGTTATATTTACCATCGAAATAAAATGCTTAAAATCAGCGGTGATTATATATTATGTATACTGTCATTTTAAATATTTAACTTAATTCTCTCATATATTAATATAATGCACCGCGCACAGAATGAACAGAATAAAATAAAGTTGAGCTTTTTAACTACGTGTTCAATTAATTCAATTGCAGAGAATTGTTGTAGAGAAGTATTCTCATTTAAAGTTTTTTTTAGTTTTTTTTTCTTTTGGATAACACTTTAAAAGTGGATTTTCTCTGCTGAAAAATAACAATAAATAAAGTTCTGTTGTTGAAATAAATTATATGTTTATTATCTTATTATAATGTAATTGTAATATGGTTAGCAAAAATCAACCGCCAATGATTTTGTTTATAATATTCTAATAAATATAATTGATAATTATTACATATTATCAATTATATATTACGCCATGGTATTTAAGATATTAGAAACATTTGGAATTCGTATCTTTTCATATATGTATATGAAAGGGAACATCTTTATTCAACCAATATAATCTAACATAAAATTCATTGCAACAGAATTACACCTTGTGAATAACTCACATAATTGATTATTGATTAATTAATTTTAAGTACGATTTGTTTAGAGCAATTATAAGACATGCTGCTAATCACAATTTATCAATATGATACATATTCAAGTTATATATATATATATATACATTTAATTATTATTAAATGTATATATTTGTAAATAGCATATTGTGACAAGCAAACTCATTAAATATTTTAGTAATAAATTCAATATTATGTGACCACTACACGTTTAAAACTAAAGAAGAAATGAATGTAACTTTGATCAGTTACTCCTTTTTTTTTAAATTTATTTACATATTGTTTTAATTATATATTCACAGATCAATTCATTAGATATTTAAATTTTATTAGAAATCTTTTTAAATATGTTTGTAATATATTTTATAAAAACAGATATTCCAAAACCAACGACTACTACAACCACAACGACGACGACCACAACGATGGCAACAACGACTCAAGTCTGGCCTACGCATGATCGAGGTAAATGACATCAAATTTTGTACATTTGGAGAGAAATATTCTAGAATTTATAATGAATGTTATTATGTTAATATAGCTTTTGCCAAGCTCATATCAGATTTCTACAAATTTTTGCCGATTTTGAGAACCGCCTGTACTTTTGTTACGTAGTTATAGAATTTATTAAAACTCTCCGTCGATAATTCAGGTTGTTGGGTTATAATTTAACCCTTGTAGCTGTGAACTATATTAAACACTGATTTGTTTGTATATTATGTATTTGTTGCAGTTCTAATAATTACAAACACTAATTTGTTACTAAGTTATAATGAAAGAAGATATATTTATTTTTATTGGTTATTTACATGTTGTTAAGCGGACTTTATACTTTTAGAAGTGAACCACTAGTTCAATTAAAACACTCCGCTACCCCCTCTACCATGGGTAGCAACCATTCTGTATAAAGCTTAATGCCTTGAATTGTCACCTTCATGGCCAATATAATAAAGCAGAAAGACGTCCGAACACCGTCGGATTAAATCAAATTTGGCTCACTTACAAGATAACTACTTATACTCATACAAATTATTTTTTCCAATTTGATTCAGGATAACTAGAAATTTTGAGAAAAGAAAAATTAAGAAATAATCAGTGTGTAAGAGAAAAACAGAAAGCTCTTCTTCAGCAAGTTGATCATTTATATTCACAAATTGTTATTTGATTGCAAAATACTAAGAACTTTACTTAATGTCACATTGATTTTAGTAAAATTAATTTCTTACATATCTTATTAACGAATTACTCTCGCAGTTTCGTAATGTATGGCTTTAAATTGAGTTATTAAATTCAAAGCATTTTGCATATTGCAGGCGAGATAATTGAGAGGATCTCTAGACCAGATTTCCCAGACTTTCCGGATGTCATTCATGAACCAGAGAACGAACTTCCGGAGCACACTGCGTTGCCGCTACCTCGGGAACGCGGTAAATATTACAACTCTGCATCACAATTAGAAAATAGTGATAAATTAGTACGAAGAAACTAATATGAAACTGTAATAATAAATTAAACATTATAATATAGGATAGAATGGGGCACAAAAGTCCAATTTGTGACCATTTGAGCAATTATATTGATAAACCAAACGAATTATATCAGAACAAATAACACATATCAAACAAGCAACTATTTGACTAAGTTCAGTAAAAATATGTCACTTGGTACCTTTACCTCATAAACGGGGTAAAATGAGACGGCCAGAGGGAAGAAAATGACATATTTTTAATTTCATAGGTATTTTACGAAATAATAGCTACATTATACCACCAAAGCAAATTATAAATTTTACAGGTACATTTTTGCAAAGATAACACTGTATATAACCTTGATCTGGTATTTTGTCGGAAATAATCATCAGCATAGTTGTACGAACGATGTTAAACTTATATCTTGTGAAATTTCATTTTTTTACTTTATTCACTTATTTATTTATTATTTTTTAATGTTTACGCCTATGCCAGATACAGGTTCTTTTTACACTCCCAGGTATAAATTTTTATAAAGGCATTGAATTTAACTTAAAATGAACAACACATCTTACAAAACAAAAAAATATCGTATACTTCAAAATTTTCAAGATTTGTTTTTTCAATCGAATGATAATATTGAAAAAGTTTAATTATTTTAAAGAAATTTTCATTCGTACTCTCACCAGATTTTTTTATATAACTCTGTTTTATTTTAGCAATCAGAAATACATACATATTTTCATGAGTTAAATTGATAATATTTAAAAGACCGTTATAAATATTAATAAATAATTAACTTCATTATAATAAATTTATAATGAAGCTAACAAGAACCTCAGGTTTATTCTTCTGGAATTTTATTGAAACCTTGCATAGTTATACAATTAATAATCAAACCAAACACCTTCAAATATTATAGGCCTATGAAAAGTATAGTTTAACTATAAAAATTAATTCAACTCTTGAAATATAGACCGCGCGGTAAAAAGTTTTAGCTCCTAATATTTACTTTAAGATAATCCACATTCCAACATAAATTTCTCGGGTTTTCTTCCTAAGTAAATACTTATTTTATGAAAAATATAATTTTTTTGTTGTAATATTAAGAGATAAAACTTTTAGAGAATTTGTTTGAACAATTTGGAAGCATTTGAGCTCCTGAGAGCACAGAAATTCGAAAATATCCATATCAAGGACTACGCTAATTACCAACAATTACCAAACAAAGATGTATATTTGACAAAAATGAAAGAAAACATAATTATAATTAACGGAGAATTGATTATTACGTCGGATTAGAAAGAAAAAGGAAAAAGTTTCTTGTAAACAAATAATATATAAAAAACCTACATTCGTGCGCTTTGATTTGTATGACAATTGTGGCTGAAAATATATTTTTCTTTAATGAATAATTGAGCGTGGGCATTTATCGAAGCCAACGAAATGTTGGAATTAAATACAACTGTAACTTTTGGACCCGTGGAATATTTTCAATTGGCGAATCCTACGCTCTGCGAAGCAATTTTATACAATATTTATTTAATTTATATAATGTATTTAATACGTCGTTTAATTTAAGTTATATAATGTTACTAAGTTTTTTTTTACAAAATATCACTATAGTTTGACATGTTTAAATTTTGGAATACTTTACACAGAAGATAGAGAATAATACCATTAATAATTATTTTGTAAGTAATTGTTTGTAAGTACATTTATCTATGACCTTTAGAAAGCCATAAAATGAAATTTAAAATTTTTTAATTTTAACTTAGATCATTTTACTTTAACCACAAAGTTCCATTAATTCTTCCAGATCTTCGTCTTCGAGGCAGACCTCAAGAAGACGACGACAACCACATAGCTGAAGACATTTCCAGCGAAAGCAGAAAACCCACGTTAAATCGTTGTAATATAAATGTACCCCAAATATTAAATATTATTATACTATTATACATTGCAGTTTTACAACAAAATGGCATATGTGTGCTGAGTAACTTGTTAACATATTTATAAAATTGATTAGGTGAGTGTATGGGAAACTGACTTATAATAATGTATACGTTGACTATGGAATTATAAAGTTTGATATTGTTTGAAAAATCATATTTTTGGGTTCTGACTGTACTAATTCTTTCAGAGCTTTCAATATTTTTGAAAGCTTTATTTAAAAATTAATCGTTAGAATAGCTAAATTATTTGTTATAAGCCACAATTATTTTAAATCAATTTTTTTGGGTATTAATAGTATGAAAAGGAGGAGCTTCAAAGTTATTTATATGTGGGGAGTCTAAAATGATTTCAAAACTTTTTGTATCAAACTTGACAAGTTTGGTAAAATGCAATAAAACTAGGAAAACAAGTGTATTAGATTATGTCTAAAGCGAATGCGATTTTTTTTCAAATCACGCAAGGATTTAAACGGTGATTTTAATAATTAATTAATTAATTAATTAATTAAAGTTAATTTACAATTTGTGCATTTGAATGAATTGTGAATACCCATGTATTTTTTTTAATATGACTCCTAAAGATTTCTCGAATGCAATATGTAATGTTACGACAATATTTACAACTTAAAATTACAAACTATTAATTATAAAATGGAGAATATTTAAGCGAATTATCTCTATTTTGATAAAAGCGAAGAAGTGTCGGTTGATTAGTATTTTGATCAATTTTATCATTATATTAAATTCAAATAATTTTTAAACGGTTGTTTCATATTGTGTTCGATGATTATTTAAATATGATTTTAAAATTTGCTATAAACCTATTGTGCTTGTAATCCTATTTATAAAATAATGTATCTATTTAAACTAATATTATTTATCTTAATATATAATATAAATATTTTATACCATATTTTGTATATATTTAATTAGTACTGGCATATTAATTAATATTTATTGGAATTTTTGCGTGAGGGTTTTAAATGTATATACATTTTAACGTTGTTTATTTAAATTTGTAATTTGTATTAATCTGTAAATAAGAGATCATGTAAATAATATGTTAATTTTTAAGAATGTACAAAATAAATTTTTAGAATGTTAAGAAATGTATAATATAATTTTGATTAGATTCTGTATATAATAACAAATCGCTTAAATAAAACTTAATATAAAAGTGGATTAATATTATATATTTTATAATATGATACATATTTGATAACACACATCACATTAGTTTAATAGTAATGTTCTCAATATTTTTATTATTTAGAATGAAAAAATATATATGCTGAAGAGAGTGAAAAAAGAAACAACTGAGCATGGTCATGAAAAGAAAGGAAACTGGATCGGACCCATATTTTATAAAAAAAAGGACAGAAAAAATAATAGGAAGAAAAAGAATTGTTGTTTGAGCAAGAGGTGAACAAAAGAAAATTAAAAACTGTTGCACTGATCTTAAAACGTAAGAACATTTTCATATCTAGTATATACCGCCTATATTTAATGCCGACGAAGTATTAATTAATTAAAGTATTTTTATCCAAGTTTTTTAGCTTTATCCAAACTTTCTACCATGCAAAAATCGTTACCATCGCGGCATATTCCTAAGAACATTTTCATATTTAGTGTATACCGCCTATATTTAATGCTGACGAAGTATTAATTAATTAAGAATTAATTAAAGTATTTTTATCCAAATTTTTCAGCTTTATCCAAACTTTCTACCATGAAAACAACTGCAAAAATCGTTACCATCGCGGCATATTCCTTGTTCATATTTTAGAGTTCTGCAGTCCCATTGGCATACTTGCTGTTGATAAGTCCGTGAGAAAGAGTTAAGATAATTACATCCAAAATTTTGGGTTTCCTTCTCCACAGCAATTTTTTTCAAATAAGGCATTATAAGTTCGTCTTTAAAAATAATTCAACACAATAGTTTTATTTTCTTCCTAAAACGATTAAAATGAATCATATCTTACTCGCTTTCTTCTTGGCCTCCTCCACGAGTTCCTTAAATTCCTCTAATTGCCTTTTTTGTTCATCCAATACACTTTTAGGTAATGTCATTGGACCCCCAAATCTTCTTACACTTGATGCATAGTGAAAGCAAATCATCGATAAAATTGTCATAACAAATACTATTGAGTTCATGATGATTATAAAAATATATTATAATTTCTATTCACTGAGTGTCACACTAACTGATTATAACCAGAGATACTACGAAATTTATATTCTGTTTTTGGAATCTAATAATTAATAATTTTAAAACATTGTTTCAAGTTTGTCAATGTTGCGAAAAAAATATTAAAAAAAATTGAGAAATCACATCAGAAATAAATCGAATTTAGGTGTATTGCAACATAATATTTACATTTAAATTAATATTTAATAAATAAATATTTTGTGCAACCTGTATTGCTAAAATAAAAATTGCCAAATAATAGGAATCAATATTGTCATATAATCACTTTGACTTAATCGAAATTGAAATTTAAATATAGAGATAAAATAACTGATCATTTCAACAATAAAGTTTCAATTTTATTTTGCGATATATTAATACAAAAATAATAAGCAGAGACTGCTAACAATATAAACCAAGAAAATTAATATTGATTATAAATTAGTATTCTCGACAAAGTATCTACTAGGATAAAACAAAATAAAAATAAAGACATTGAAGCGTAAGTATACTTCTATAACTTAAAAAAATTGCAACTTCTTCAAATATTTTTGGCAAATTGTTGTTGCACGATTAATAAAAGATAAAAATTGTCACCTAAAAAATGACCGAATGAACATTGTCAACGGAAACATAGTGTTGACTTTATTTTCATCATCAGTATGGTATTGTGACATTTTCAGCGAAAGCAAAAACACACGTTAAATTGGTGTAAGGTAAATGAACCACAAATATAAAATATGTACTATTATATTATAATACTAATTGACAAAAATTTGTTAACATATTTAGAAAGTTGAGATTCTGAGTATGCGAGAAACTGTCACATATATAATAATAATAATAAATACTTTGGTAATAAAATCATGAGACTAGTATTAGAAAAATCATATTTTTCATTTTGCTCATTTTGTGATTTCATTTAATAATTACGTAGTTACCAATATTTTTGGATATTTTTGTTTCCAAGTTTTCTCTGAATAATAACGTAGATTAATTAGTTAATTAGATAAATTGATCATTGCAGTATATAGTATAAAAAAAATTAAAATTATTTTATGAATTTATTTGGATCTATAAATTATTATAACATAATCGTACGTTACATAATTGAAAACATTTATACGAAAATGTACTACTAAAACGTAAGAATATTTTACTTATACTTAATGACGAGGATGTATAAATTCACTTTATGTTTATTCATATTTTATATCTTTATCCAAATCCTCTACCCTGAAAGCAAATGCAAACATCATATCCATTTTTACATATTCCTTGTTCATATCCTTTAGTTCTGCAATCCCACTGACATACTTGAAGTTGATAAGTACGTGAAAACTGGTTGAGATATTCGCATCCAAAATTTTTCGTTCCTTTATCATTAGCGATTTTCTTCAAATAAGGCATAATAAGTTGATCACCTTTGACACATTTTACCACGTTAGGTTTATTTTTTTAAAATAAATTATTTAAAATGCATAATATATTTTTACCTTGGGTTTTGGCCTCCTCCATTAGTTTTTTGAATTCTTCTAATTTCCTTTTCTTTTCATCCATTACACTTTTAGGCAAAGTCATAGGACCTCCCCATCTCCTTCTACTAGATGCATAATTAAAGTAAACAATCGAGATAATTAAGACAACTAATGCAAGTGATTTCATTTTGCAAACTAAACGGCAATTTCTATTCTTTGATTATTAGCTTATCCAAACATAATTTGAGAGTCTACTTAATTTTTATTCTGATCCTTGTTATGAATTATTGGTTATAAATTGTAGTTTTAAATTTTAGTCATATTTGCAAAATACTTAGAAAACAACATTTTGAAAGAAATAATAATAATTTGTTTGCGATATCATATTTACATGTAGCATAACAATAATATTTTGTTGAAATTGTGAAACGCAGTAAAATTGTCAAAAAAATAAATAATATTGTCATGAGAAAATAGCATAAATAGTTCATACTTACTATAAGGTATCCATGTGGTGCTTAGTATTATATTACCATTATTAGTATTATTTAAATTAAAATTAAATTTCTATATGTAGCGTACTATATATTAATTTCATTGAAGACCATATTTTAGATATATAATTTCAAGTGAAAACTGGTTATCCCAAAAAAATGCGTGTGTATATGTATGCTTTGTATGAAAACAATTTTTTGTCCACGATTTCGGGTGCACGGATTATCCGATTTGAATGATTTTTTTAATTGCCAAAAAAATCAAATATCTAGCAAGATTCGTTTTTTTCTTGATTTAAGTTAAAATTCTAAAGCTCACTCATATACTTGAAATAAATAAATTCTTAAAAATATTAGATAAATTTCTTTAAACTACGTTTGATTAAGTTTTGTTTATTAACTTTTTATGTAAACTTGTATAAACGTCGTCTTCCAATTTATAAGCTCTTACATTTTATTTACAAAATACAAATACTGAATGTTACGGTATATATAATAATCTGTTTGAAATCGTTTAAAACTCTTTGAATGCGGTACGGGAAGTACCAGCAATTTGTCTTATAACGCACGATGCCAGTAGTTACTTTTTTCGTTGATGAATTCCTATCTGCTGCTATAAACAATTTATAGTAAATTATTTATAGTTGTAAAATAATTGATACAAATTGAATGATATCCAATATTATAACAATTAGTTATTATTTCTTGTGTTCAAAAATTGTATAGTTGGTCAATAACTGTCCTAGATGGTTTACAGTTAGTGTTTTTTTAAGTATTAAACCATTGGTTACTCAGTATTAAATAAAAATACGGTTAAGATAACTATAAGCATAGATAAATAAGCACACATATAAATGATACAAACATTGAATAAACGTAGTGCGATCTGTACATATTCCACCAC